GTTTATGCAAAAATGGCTGGATCGATGAGCTTAGCGTCAAAGTGCCGATTCAAATGTGCGAAAAATCGATTCCCTGCGTGTACGACGCGATGGGCAAGCATTACAGTTTGACTGACTCACTCCACTCGGCTCGCGGCATGACTGCAACTCGCAGTTGGCACTCGCGTCCTCCCGACCAGCCGTTGACTCTGGTCGAATACATGCCACTTACCGACGGGCTCACGACCGCACCGGTCGGCAGGTGCAACTCAGCCCAGACAAACGAGTCAATGGCTTGGGCACGAGATGCAAAAGTTTAGCAAAGCTAAGACTCACCTGCGCTGTTTCCTGCCGCCACGGCGTTTGCTGATGTGTGGATTGTCCTTGCGCATCGCCTTGATTTTGTATATTTCAATTTGCGTGTACAGCCGCTTCAGCTCCCTCTAAAATGCAGACAGAAAAAGGGGCTCAATGAAGAAGCATGTCATCGTGCCGCAAGCGAGACGGCCAATGCTGTTACAACATTTCATCTGGTCTGCAGAGAATGCTCGAGAAAATTTGGCAAAAGACTAAAACGCATTCAAACCGGCGCCAAATGTGATGCTGCCGACCTTCGCCGGAAGCTGGCCCCGGCTTGAAAGTCATCCGAGATTTGGCCTCGACGCCTCGTAGAACAAGTCTACATGGTCTAGTTTCGGTCGAGAAGCCGGTTATCGAGATTGCCGATAGATCAATAATATGAGATGTATTCACCCCTTCTGGTTGAGGTGAAGAAAGACCGCTAGTTGGATTGGAGTGTCTAAAGCCTACTCATAAGTAGTGCAACTTTGCTTCGCGGCAATCCCACCACAGAATGTGATATGGCAAATTGTCTGGCCCTCTGACTCAACGGCACTCGTGGCAGTCTGGCGAGATGGTCAATGTGTCGAGATTATACTTTGTACTACCACAAACCAGGTTCGAGTCCCGCTGGGAATGGGGTCAGGATTGCAATTCAATTCGGCCCGGATGAGAATATTTTTCGGAAAGCAGGGTTATGCCAGTCCTTCATCACCTTAAAGAAATAGTGTAAGCATGTTGCATTGGAATGTACACATTCTTTCGAAGATATGAAGAACAGGTTGGTGTGGTCCTCGGTATGGTCGTAGTCTCCTGTCGACCTATAGAAGTGGGTTGACCTCGTTTTTGCAAATTGGTCTTGCTGTCAGGGCGAATTAGTTTAACGCACCTGGTCCGAGTCGTCCGCCATAGCAGTTGTCATAATTACCAGCGTCAGACCGTCGACTTGGTACATTCTCAGACGTTTCGCCGGTATCCTAGTGAGAAGGTACCAAGTGCACGGTCTGAGACTTCAGACAAGGTGCGTTCAACTAAGTCACCCTGACAATAAGAGTGAGTTGCGTGTACACTTTTTGTTCATATGTAGGGTCTCGAGACTGCCAGTAACGCAATTGTATGAGATGTATTCAGCTTATTTAGTCTCAGGTGACGAAGGCCTGGAGGTTCTCTCATCCGGACTGAAATGGACTGTAGTTTCGATCTAGCCTAGGCCTTATCAACACCCCCAGCGGGACT